CACACACACGTTCATATGGGGTGGACTGTGTTGGCCCTTGCTGTGCGCCTGAATGGCAAAGGATTACAGCCCTGCAGGCAGTAGTACAGCACAGTTGGCTCACCTGAATCACAGCAGTAAAGCGACGTTGAGCGAACAAAAATGGGCACACAGAAAATGTGCCTGAAGAAAAATCAGCCTGTAAACAGATTGGCCAGTTGAAGCTGCTAATGATGGCTGCCACTGTTGTTTGCTCTCTGTTGCTCATTCTCTCTTGCTTGCTTTGTTGGCCCCATCACCAACTGCCCTAAACTGGAATTGCAGGCCAATTCCGCAGTAGAATAAGTGTTGCTGCTGCTGCACTAGCAGTTTACAACTGGTGTCCTGCACAAGTGGTCTCCAATACTGGAGCACTCAAAGCAGTGCTCGCGTCCACTAATTGTGCAGCAGAGTAGCAGAGGGGGCAATTTCGGTACTCAATGGCAACCGATATCGGACACCGATTGCCTCCACTACNCCACTAATTGTGCAGCAGAGTAGCAGAGGGGGCAATTTCGGTACTCAATGGCAACCGATATCGGACACCGATTGCCTCCACTACTTAAGAGCTGCAGCAGCAGCACTATTACCATGTCGTAAATTGCAAAAAAACACCGCCAGCAAGGAGTAGAATCAACCATTTAACAGGCACAGGCACAAGCACTGAGCGCCAGTACTACTTTTCCTCCTCCTCCGTTTCAGTCTCTCCTGCTATCCTTCTGAGTATGTGGGATTTTTGTTCCAAAAAGAGAGAATAGTATAGCAGCCAAAGTGAGTACGGTTTTGCCGGTTCTGTCGCCAGTTCAGGAAGCGGTCCATTCTTCTCAATGGCGACACACACACACAAGCAATCGATTTGTCGCCTACTACTGCAGCAAAGTGCACGCAGACTAGTACTCACAGCCGTACTGCAACCGCCTCGTTAGTCAAAGTATGCCATTCATTAAGTGGAAGAGGGCTGGTGGAAAAGTGAAGCTTCTGTTCATTCAGACTGCTGCTGGTGCTCTGTGCCAGTGACTTCAAATGAGTGCACACCAGCACCAGTTAATTATTGGCAGACAAACCTGATGCAACTGTCGCAGTGCAGCAGTGCAGCAGAGTGCATGTAATTGAATTGGCTACTGTTCTTGCTCGCTGTTCACTGACGAGCTACAGACAATCAGCATCGCCAATTAGTGCTAGTACCCATCGTCTTTAGAATGACAGAAAAAAAGAAGGAGAAGAGAAGGAAGAGGACAATTCGGCATCCAAAATGTGTTCACTACCGCCTAATGGTTATATTAGAAACAGTCAAGAAACCACCAGATATATCAGATGGTTTAGATTGCTGATAGACTTGCTGAAGCATTCATTCCCAGATTGAAAGGCACCAGTCACTCAGTGTCGTACAGTCTGACTCGCTTTCCGGAACATATCTTCATCGTCGAACGGAATCAATGCAGCACAATGGCACTGTGCCAGCAGTGCAGTCGATTAGAGACAACGAAAATGAAGCGAACATGAAATGAACACACACACACACACACATCAACCATCAACCGAACAGCAGCAATCGACAATCATCAGAAATCGTTTCCGTCGAAAGTGCTACTGCCGCTGATGCTGATGATGATGCTGTGGTCAAACATTGTACTCGGCAGACAATGCTGCTCCCTTTCTCTCTTTCGTTCTTCCTTTCTTTCTTTCAAATTGGGCAGTAGTAGTATATTGTCACCTGAATTGGCACCTGCACCAGAGGAAGAAAAGAGACGAACGGAAATGGTAGCAGTAGTAGTAGACAGCAAGTAGAATGTGCGTAAGGGAGCTTGATTGACGGTGATGGCGACGGCGGCGTCGGCGGTGGTAATGTTAATGGTGGTGGTACTCTGAGTTTGTTGTCTAGCCGAGTGCTACCATCAGCCGCAGCAACGGCAGCAGCAGTTGAGTTCCCTTGCCTGTGTAGCAGCCAGAGTGCAGAGTGCTTCTCCCTAGCCATTTCCCATTGCATATCTCGTTGCATTGCTCGCGCATCGACTGGAATCCAACTTTGCCGTCCGCTTCTCTCCCCTCGCTCACTGCCTCTCTCTCCCGCTTTCTCCGCATCTCTATCCCTACCACCGACAATTGTCACCGCTCTCTCTTCGCCACAGTGGCCCAGACATATTTCTTCTGTTTTGCAGTAGCGTTGAGGACAACAAACAGCAGGCCACTGCTCTCATCCCTTCACCCTAGCCAGTGGCTCTAGCCGCCATCATTCCATCACTCCATCCTTGCTCTAGTTGTTTCCATTCATCTCTCTTCTGTGGCCCATGTTCCTCATTCTCGAGCACACCTAGAGAGAGAACACAAACTGCACATTCCATCCNTCTCTCTTCGCCACAGTGGCCCAGACATATTTCTTCTGTTTTGCAGTAGCGTTGAGGACAACAAACAGCAGGCCACTGCTCTCATCCCTTCACCCTAGCCAGTGGTTCTAGCCGCCATCATTCCATCACTCCATCCTTGCTCTAGTTGTTTCCATTCATCTCTCTTCTCTGGCCCATGTTCCTCATTCTCGAGCACACCTAGAGAGAGAACACAGACTGCACATTCCATCGACCACCGCCACGTCTTCTGCCTTACTGCTGCTAATGCACTAGCTAGCTGTGTCCACTGCTAGTGCTACGCATTCTGCGCAGCACACACACATTCCACGGACCAAGCACCCGATGGCCTGAAGGAAGCACCCCAACCGCCGTGATCACCTGTTTCTTTTGTTTCCTTTTTTCTGTAGTGCTCCTTGTTTTGCTTCTGTTGTTTTCTGTTGTTGTATATACCTTCTTCTTTCTTTGTTTACCTATCTTCTGCTTCCTCTTCTGTTGTCCTCGCTGTCGCTGTTCCAAGTGACGATGCAAGTCGGTGGAGAATGAGCGCTGTCACAGGTATGTGTGTGTCGCTCTGTTTACCAATCGGTTTAGCCTTTGATTGACACTCAATCATTTATATCAACCACTTATCAAACACTGGTTTCTTTTTTTGCCGTTCTCCCTTCTGATGTCTTCGCCGTCAGATATAAAAAAGCTGCAAGACTCGCTGGAAAAGTTGCACGTTTCCTTAAACCAAAATGGAGTGCACCAGACCAACTCACTGAAAGATGACATTGGCATTCTTCTGGACGTTCTCCACTGTCCGGTTTTTGACTCTATCCTCTGCGTTCAGGTAACTTTAACTGTTTCACCTGATTTTCATCAACAGTCAACTCATTCATCAATTTCGCTTTCTCTCCATTGTGCAGCAATCGTTAGAGCAGTTACGGGAACAAGTGGCCCTTCATCCCTCCATTTTGCCTAACGACTTTGACATCAGTCCCTCCACGCTTGAACTGAGACTTAATGTGCCTGATAACAACAACTCCGATGCGGAGAACAACTTTGACTATGATAGCCGAACTATTCCCTCCAAGTTTTCCCTTCAAAAGTACATTTATGACTCCTCTGAGCTGGTCCATCAGGAGCCCGATTACGTAAATATATCCTTACAGGTATAAGAGGCAGATTTTTATGATGATTAAATGGCCATTACGGCCAGTTTGGGGGCTCGTGGTCAAATGAATTATTAATCGTAATGATTCTCTTTTTTACCAGGATGATGCTTTTCGAAAGCAAATTTCCGAACTAGCTCAAGGGCGCCTGGTGCAGACGGTAGAGCTGTACAAGCCCGAAGGACAGAGCTTGGGCTTTAAGGTGGTCAACAATCCGGAGAAGCATTTAGAAGGCATTTTCATTCAGGAGATCCACGACAACGGCATTGCAGCCAGGTATGTGTGTGTGTGTGTGTGTGTGTGTGTGTGTGTGTGTGTGCAGCCATTGATATTGCACCTTTCCTTCCGCCTTCCTTTCCTAATTGGTGCCACCTTGAATTGCGCGGTCAATCTATCACGGCCTTATTGGCTTATTGTCGCCCTGACACTTGCCCCCAATTGATGCGGCGGTTGTGTGAGGGGGTAGCAGAAGCTTCAGCAACATCAGATGCAGGAGCAAAGGACGGCATAAAAGGGACTGTCAGTGACATAAATCACAGCCGTTGTCTTGTCGGTTTGTCTCTTGTTCTTCGCCTTCTTCCGTCCGCCGCCGTCAGTTGCAGTCGGTTATCAGCGGAGACCCACACTCACCCAAACCGACGCCGACTGGCTGCTGCTGAAGGAGCCCATTTCGCCATTGTCTGCCAATATTAGCCATTTGACTGTGCCATCAGTGGCTGCACACTTCAGGCAAAAACTGGTGGCTATATAGTGTGAGGAGCTTCCTGGAACAGCAGCAGCTGCACACTCCATTCGGCACATTCTCGGTGGAGTATGCCACGGTGGTCAATGCGTGCGCCAGTGTTGCACTAAAGGTATTTTCGCTCCGCTGGTGAGCAGCTAGCTGCCTGATTGAGCCATTTGCTGCCGCCGGAGGAGCAAGTGCCAGTGCAGCAGCTCCAGGAAGGGAGCACTGCCACCACCAGCAGCACCAGCAGCACCAGCAGACCAGATAGCACCGACTCCGGACAGTGGACACGCACAGTCGGCGGCAGCGGCACTCACACTCTCACGTCGCCGATGCCGTTGCTGCTCTGTTGCTGACCTACTCGAGAGTGAAAATCAGAACTCTCACTCTGTCGCTTATCAGTCTTCTTACACGCACGCACACAGACAGACGCATACAGTTAGTCAGTGACCAAATCACCGCCGAGTCGAGCTTCTTCTTCGCTACCAGTGACCAGTGACCCTCATCTAATCATCCTCGCTAATCTGATCATCACTCACTTGCAGCCACACGCATTCATTCATTCACTCACACACTTGCTCTTATACAACAGTGCCCACGCCTGCTATTTTTTGTACTTCTTTTTTGCTTTCATTCACTGACATCACATGTCCTTCTTCCTCCTCCTCACAGAAGTGGCCTTCTCAAGGTGGGCGACCGGATTCTAGCCATCGACCGTCAACTGTTCACGCCAAACCTCTCGCACGAGGATGCCATCTCCATTCTGTGGCGTGCCAGCGGCATCATCACCCTAGTGGTGGCTCGTCTCGATCTGTCATCAGGCAGCAGCACAACAGCAGCAAAACCGGCACTGAAGGATGCCGCCACACTGTCGGCAGAACTGTCCGTGCCTAGCAAAGCCGCTGTCGCCGGTGTGGAAGGGTCGAACAGCAGCAGCACTTCGGTGTTCAACGTGAAGCGATCGCCATCCGAGGTGAG